CTCCTCCTTTTCCCTCCTTGCTTTCACCCTCCTCCTCCCTTCTCCTCACCCTCCTCACTCTCACTCTCACAATCCTCTCCTCCATATATGGAACCCGCTATCTCCTCGACACCTGCCTCCACCAACGTATTTTTTATTGACAAATCACGAGCTGCAAGTACATAATGTTGGAATTCCCATGCTAATACTTCATTGTCGAGCATCACATCAAGCATCTTTATACAAGTATGTTGCTGCAATTATAATAACAACTAAATAATAACACAAATGTGGAATGGAAAAAATAGACCATATGCATATCAAAACATAATCAAATAATGAAATACATAAGATAAGTAATCTATCCATTTTCCATCATCATCATCACCCATGGGGTATTCTTCAGGTGAACTCAACTGCCATCACCCAATGTAATCTTATGTAACCCTATATCTGTGTGAAAATAGCTATACCAAGCTATGTACTCTTTCGTAAGCCCCCACCATTCACACAGTCATCTTCAACAATATTATTTTCCCATTGGTGCCAGCCCATTATCTCCATACTCAATTCATTTATATAATTTATGGGTCGTTTGCCATATTTCTCCCTCCTATCCCATTTAGGAGGCTCAACAAGATCCCTTGTGCCTTCCCAAGCTATCAAAGCACGCGATCAATTGTATAATACTTGGCGATCTTAAACTATTAAGTACATCTGGAACAACTCAATTTCCTTGCTAATCATGTCAAATATGTTGTAATATTCTTCTCAGTGTTCCTCGTATGGTTGCCATATCACCTTATAAAACAAAGCGTAACATAATAAATATTTTTATAAATACGTAATTGATTTGTAAACAACAACTATATGAGCACACAAGTACACCACTAATCGATTGAAGTCTAAGATTTTCAAGCACTTTGTATGAGTCTTCACAACATAGTTGTTTAGCCCACATGCAAGCTCTATGCGGACTCGGGTTGATTGGAAGAGACTTGGGGCATAGAGGTATAAAACACTTATAGAATCAATACTATACCAAGACATAAAAAAAAAGGTCAGAAGCTTAAAATTACAAAAAAATTGATAAATGAATGCAAGGGTTGCAACACCCCATGTATACTTCCCCGCATCATCGAAGTATGCATATTGCGAGAGTCAATCCTTTCGATGAGTCGATGAATATAGTTGTGCCCTCCAAATAAAGGAGATAAGGATGGGTTTATTGTACCAATTGCCACTTGGTGGCCCTTTTAAGGCTTAGGCTTTATGAAAACAAACTAAAGCCTCATCCCAAATCCCACTCCGGAAAGCACTTTGGGTATCATACATATCCATGATGCTCTAAAATCAATTTCCAATATTGACTATGAAATTTGAAGCTAAAGAACTAATACATATCTTACGGATTTGTGAACACTTATTTTTAGGGTGAAATGTAAGGTCAATATAATGTATCACGATGTACACTATTTTTAGGTTTTAGAATCCTAATTTTTTCACAACCATAATGTTCGAGGCCGAAATGGTCAATTTGAAGTTTTTCCAATGCCAAAATTATAATTCTTGGTGAGTTAAGAGATGAGGTTACTTATTTTGATAGTGTTGGAACCCTATGAAAATATTGTCTTTATTTTTTTTAATTCAACTTTGTACAGTTGGATGACTTCGATACGATTCAAATCACTCCACCGGTAAAATTTGTGACTTAGTATGACCCGAAAGTATATGTCAATGACCTATTTTTGTACTCAACATATCACTTTCACCCCTTCTTCTTCTCCCCCACTCAAGCTTTCCCTAGTTTAGTTCTTTCTTAGTTGAGTTTGTTTTTTTATGATTTTATTGAGTTTAGTCATTCTCTCTTTATAGATTTTAGTATTTTACAAAGCTCAAGATTTTTACTTAGTTTTAGATTTTAGAAAATCACACACACACACACACACACATACACACACACACACACACACACATATATATATATATATATATATTCTTTTTTCCATTATTACAAAATTACCCATAATTTTTCGTTACTACATATGTACCCATTTTCTCCCCTTCGTAACAATATTTTTTAAAAAAATGATGAAACTATCTTTTTCAGGTTTTAATAAACAATTTTTTGGATATTGAAAAGCTAAAATTTTCATATTTTTTATTTTTGAGAAACCAAAATTCTCATATATTTGGTGCTTCAAGTATTGAAAATCTCTATCTTCCTCCTCCCGCCTGAAACCCCTCTTACCCTAATCGAAATACCTTGGAAAAGCATATTGTCATGAACACGTTAGGAAATGATAGGCACCAATCGAGAAAGTATGGAATCCACTTTGAGGTCATGTCAAATTTTGGGGGTTCCTTACATCATTATCAATCATTTCATTGCAAAAGACATCACCATAGTTTTCTATACTCCATTGTCCGTTCCCACCATCATCAATTATCGTTTCAAAGGATGGTTATCAAAATATAAATCTTTTATAGTCCATTGGTATCTAATAGTTAGTTTTATGATTGCAAAGGGTTGCAAGAGCAGGGAAGAGGGGTTTTGACAGGGACTAGCCCAAGTTATTAAGCTCGAGTAAGGTTTCAGTAGTGAACTTGAGCCGAATTTAAAACTTTTTAAAACTATAACTTTGTAACAATGACTTTAAAAAAAATATTATTACTTTGTAATGATGTTGTAAACTTATTATCTATGCTATCTATATATTATATAAGGGACTGTATACAATGAGATCATTTAACTTTTATACAAGGTGGCCACATTGCATGAAATCATTGCATTTACTTATATCCATTGGATGTGAAATCTGATTGCTTGAATGTGTCACAACATTTGAGAAAATTTATTTTGAATTTTAAGCTTGGTCAAAATGTAGCCACCCAATTTCACATCTAATGATTAAAGATTAATTGTGACCACCTTGCACCAAAGATAAATGGCCTCATTGTATATTTTTCCATTATATAATATTACGCTACAGTTTAGGAGTTGACACATATCACATGACTAAAATAGGAACTTATCTTCGAATAAAATGTAGGTTTAAAGAGGAATTGTGAGAAATGTATGGTAGTTTTTTCTTCTTCTTTTTAGGATAAAGGAGATTCGCTAATTTCCTCAAATTTTGATACAGTTCTTCTCCAAATTAATTCTTTTTAGGATAAAGGAGATTTGCTAATTTCCTCAAATTTTGATACAGTTCTTCTCCAAATTAAACTCAGTATAGAGTAAGGGTTAAATTATCACATAAATTTCTTTATTTTTCTCTTCCCATTTTTTTATGGTACTTGAATGTTACAGTAAGTCCAAATAGATTTCAAGTATAAAAAATAATACATATTGCAACATATTATCTAGATGTCAATTTTCAAGAATTTCACAAGTCTATAGATCCATTTATTAAATTATCATTGAAGTTTAAAATTCTAGAGAAAATTATAAATGCCTTCCAAATTGAACTTCATAGACATTGTATTAAAATTTTTTTGTATTCCATCTTAAACCCAATACTAATTTTCTTTATATTTACTTGAAATAAAAAAGTAAATAATTTTTTTAAAAAATACCATTACTTTCTCTCCTCTCCCTTTTTAGAGCCACGTCTCTCTCTACCCATACTTTTTCTCTTAAAATAAAAACTCATTTCTCCTTTTCCCTCTCTCATTCTCTCACTCTAAAAGCCCATATCCTCTATTTCTCTCTCTCACTTCCCTTATCTCATTCTCTAGTAGTATGTGTCGGACCAAAATTTTTTACAGTCCGACACAAAGAAGTGTGAGACCGCAAAAAGATATTCGGTCCAGTACTTAACTCAAAGCTACCACAAAAAGATATTCGGTCCAGTACTTAACTCAAAGCTACCACAAAAAGATATTCGGTCCAGTACTTAACTCAAAGCTACCTGATTTGGCACACTGGGCGTTGGATCACATTACAAGCCATGTTACTGGAACTCAATGCGGTTTTGCACACTAGGTTTTGGGCCGCATTACCGCGAATGAGAGAGTGAAAGAGAGCAAACATGTTTTTACTTTGGGAGAGAGAGAGTTGGTAGAGAGAGAGTCACGTGACTCCAAATGGAGGAGATCAGAAAAATTAAAAGAATTATTGTTCTAAACCCATTTTTTTTTTTGATTTGAGGGTAAATACAAAAAAAATTAATTTTGAAATTTAGGGTGGGATAAAAAAGTCAAGGGGCTAAGATGTCTAGAAAATTGAATATGGGTATCTATAATTTCTCCAAAATTCTATAATTAAAGATAAAAATAGATCCCCAAGTCGTAGTTAGCAAGTCGCCGATTTAAACGTGATTTTTTCCAAAAATCGAATTGTTAAATGAGAGAGAGAACCGTATCATTAATAATAGAGAGAGAGAGAGTATTATCGTTATTAAATTAGAGAGAAAGAGGTTATTATTTGAGAAAAATAGTTTATTTTAAGGTTGCAACTTTATTCCGTTGAAGTGAGGTGCACCTCAAAAATCCTACGGTGGAGAGTGCTTCGGTGTAGGACAACCCTCCATGGACAAAAAGAAAAATACGAATTCCAATACTTGTTATGAGACGACTAAATTAATTGACTTAATTATAATAGTTTAATAAAATTTTTCTGGATGGATTAATATTTTTATTTTTTAAAATTATAAAATTTTTAATATTTTAAACTTATCTGATTTTTTGACTTCGATTTTTTGAGCCTAGTCCGATATATCGGTGATATATTTACATGAAGTATTTTTGCCGATCTGTATTTTTTACCTGATTTTTTTTTCGAACTTTTAAAAAAAAAAACGATTTATTTTTATTTTTATTGAGGGCCGATTTATTGATAGTACCCAACTTGCTAACTGTGGCCCCAAACTAATCCTAAAAATTTCTCAGACAAAAATTACATCAAATTTGGAGGTGCGCTTGGTCTAATTCAAACCATTTTCACGTTGAAACTTTATGCAAACCGCATAATTACCCTGGTGATAATATTTTTACTGTGATTTTCCAAACACCAGAAATAGAGAGAGGGTACTATGAGAGAGAGGGAGGGCGTCAGAGAGGGAAGAAAGTGCGAGTAGAGAGAGCCTGAATTGTAGAGACAGGGTAAGCAATGAATTGAATCCCATGGCCATGATCAGCTCAAATCCTCCTACTCTCTTCAACACCTTCTCACCCAATGCCATTTCCAGAGCCTGCCCTAATTTCCACGGCTACCACCTCTCCTTAGCCTCTGAAACACCTCACTTACGGAGCAGAATCAGGGTTTCCAGCTTGGGTAATGGAGACTCCAGAAATGGAAATCCTAGAGGGAGAGAGGTTGCAGAAGAGGAGAGTGGGCGGGTGCAATGTGAGGTGCAGGTGGTTTCATGGAGAGAGAGAGGGGTAAGAGGCTGGGTAGAGATAGAAGCACATGAGGAGACAGTCTGGAATGTGCTCACTGATTACGAAAGGCTTGCAGATTTCATCCCCAATCTCGTTTGCAGGTGATTTTATATAAATATGTAAAAATATGTTTTCCCTGTGATTTGCTTTGTTTATGTGAATTTTTGAGGGTAAATACAAGTAAACCCATTTTTATGTTATTATTGCTCACCTGAGAACTGAAAGAAATGTCAACCTCTGTGTGTGTGTGTGTGTTTCGGAGGATTCAATAATAATAATAATAAAAATAATACTAAAAGTAATAATAATAAGAATAATAATAATAAGAATAGTAATAATAATAAGAATAAATAATAATAGTAGTAATAATAATAATAGTAATAATAATAATAGTAATAGTAGTGATAATAATAATAATAATAATAATAATAATAATAATAATAATAATAATAATAATAATAATAATAATAATAATAATAATAATAAATAATGATAATAATAATAATAATAATAATAATAATAATAATAATAATAATAATAATTATTATTATTATTATTATAATAGTAATAAATGGTTTGCTTGGTCAAATAATAATAACAATAATACATAAATAAATAAATAATATTATCATTTAGAAGTTCTGCGATTATGTTGTTTTTTGTTTGCATTATTATGACTATTATCATTAATCTTTTATGATTTACTCGCTATAGAGGCTCCATTTATATTGCTTGAACTTTCAATTGCCACTGGCTTGTTCATCATCTAACCTATTTCTTTTTGGGTGTGGTTTGTTTAGAGCCTAGGCTCTAAACAATCAAATTGGAGCCTACCTTCAAATAGTGTCGAGAAATGTGGTTTCACTACCGGAAATCTTTGTAAAAGCCTTAAAATATATTTATATATTTATTTATAAAGTCTAAAGCTTCAAAAATAGTGTAGATCAACAGAACTATGAAAACTTGAAAATCTTGAAAATTGATGGTCAAAAAATGCGTTTTAAAATACACTATTTCCAAAACTCGAAATGCAATTTTTTCTCATGTCCATGCATCTTGATGTCAAGATGATCCATTTGAAGATATTTGGGCAGCAAAACAACATCTTCTAGTGAAATTTTCCAGGTAGGCTCAAATTTGATTGTTTAGAGCCTCGGCTCTATATAAACTTTTCCCTTTCTTTTTTGACACTAATATTATGAGTTGTTTTGGGGAATTTGTTTGATATTTTGAAACAAATGGACCTTTTTGCCAAAATAAAGTACAATTTGGTAAGCAGATGATATAATTTTCTTTCCTTATTGTTAATGGTGTTATCACTGAGAAGCTTTTTAGATTTCTTATGGTGTTCTCTTAGTCTATATTCTGGTTGATGGTTTTCATTATTGGCAGTGAGAGAATCCCTTGCCCACATCCAGGGCGAATATGGTTAATGCAGAGAGGAATGCAAAGAGCATTATATTGGCATATTGAAGCTCGAGTTGTTCTTGACCTTAGAGAATTCCCTGATGCAGTTATTTCCTCAACCTTCTGTGGTATATTCTCATTTGGTATTCCATCTTGAATAGGTGACTTATGTTGTTAACAAAATTCTTATTGGCAATTGCTGAATCTGATAGCAATATGAATGTGATATTTTTTTGGTTATTTCCCTTATTTTATTGCCATTGGATTACCTCCGTGTTATAATTCCTATGTCTGATTGTTTGTTTCCCTTTTTTACATTGACAAGTGGCATTATCTAATTATTTTGGGGTTTGGATGTGAGATGTTACTCTTGAATAAGATAATATTGCTCATGATCTGGTATTAAATTCCCCATGGTCATCTATTTTGCCAATTATAAGGCCCCTATGCACCAATGAACTACCTTCCTCTTAAGAATAATGAAAGGGATGCATTTGTGTGTGAAATATCCTCTGCTCTTGTGATTGATGGAAAGAATCCAAGATTTGAACTTCCAATTGAGTACCTTCCTCTTCCAAGAGTAATATTTCCACTGTGATTCTTGGTTGATTCCTAACAAAAACTGGTCTCTTAAAGGCATTGTATTCATTCTTATATTCATTGGGGATATTTTAGGATTTCTTAGAATCGACCTTAACCTTTGACACTTTTTTTTTGGGGAATTTTTACTTGTGCTACGTAGAATTGTAAGTGTTGCGAGTTTACGAAAAAGAATGGCATCTAACAAGTTGGATGTTAGGTATAGTTCATAGACAGCGCGAAATAAGGTCTACCACTCCCATGATAGCAAAAATGGTGGAATCAGGCGATCATTATAAGTAAAAACCAAAAAGCATGGCTGCACACTCCCAATATGACAAAAAGAGGTGGGAGTTAACTCTCCCCTGGGCCCAGGGATAATTCAACTTTGACACCTAGACTTGATAAATTTGAAATTATGTGGATGAAGCTCTGTATATCACATCAACAGCAATAATTTCCGTTTTTTTTTTGGGGGGGGGGGGGGGGGATGGGTTTGGTTGGTTTATGGTTCTTTGAATTTCTTTGGGCTGATTAAATTCTACAGCCTGGCTTCTCCATGGCCCACCAACCCTATCAAGAACCCCCTTTGGCTTACATTCTAAGGATTCATGGGTTGTTAAGAGTTCTCAATCATTTTGAGGCATTAGTTGACTTAAGAAAATATTAGCCGCCTTGAGAGTGGTAATACAACATAAATTCCAGGTATAACTTTTGTGCAGCCACTCACCTTTGTTCTTGGAGTTGCCAACCAACACCACAATATCATGGGATCAAATCCAATCATCTACTTTGGAGGTCATAAAAGAGCTTTACTATTTATCGGTAGTAGGTAATGCCTTTTCTGAACTTGACATTTGCATCCGAAGGATGACAAACTATTGAAAATCTGGAAGGGAGAGCCATTGACCACTAAGCACTTGTTCACCTCATGCAGCTTTGCCCGCCACCTTTGGTAAACCGTGTAGTGGAAGTTTAACACAGCAACTATAGTTGGCAGCAACGTCCAGAGCCTCATAGCAAACTGGTTCCAAAAGAATTCCCAAACAAGTTTCTTGATAAACTATGGAAGGTTTTTCTTCCTGCCGTATTATGAGTGACTTGGCAAGAAAGGAACTGCATACCGTATTATGGGTCATAGGGGACTAGCCTCAAAATTTGAGATTCCTAGAACGAAACACATTGTTAACTTGGGTAGCTTCATAAACCAGCTACACAGAGATGTGAATTGAATTGCTTCTCCTTCCTGTAGCATGAAATAAAGATTGCGTGATTTCCACTTTCCACCCCTTCACATGTTACCTTGAGATGAGAAAGCTTAGGACGGGCGATCTTGAGCTGATCTATTTTGTATGACCTAGTAGAAGTTCGTCCGTGTGGATAACATTAGCATTTTGACTATCAGGGCTGGACAGGCTCTAGAGGCATCCATGAGGAAGGACATACATGGGGGAGGTGAAGTGCTCCAGAGACCTGGAAAGCAATGGAGGTGAAGTTAGAGTTTGAATTTATGATATTTGCTATAATATTTGTCTTTTTGGTGGGATTAGGTAAGAAGTTACGAAGGAACTAGAGGAACCAGTGTTGGTTACAGTTATGAACTTAGGAAGTGCAGGTGGGAGTGGGTTGGTCATCTTCTCTAAGAGGACAGTGTGGAAAACCCCTGCAGTTCTATACTATGAAATACACTACAACCATGAAACAATATTTATGGACCCCCACTCTCTGAATGCCACCACCACACTGCCGTTGTTAGCTATCTTCCCAATTCCTGTCCAAATTCAAGATGCATCCCCAGTCACATACCCCTAACAAATCAATCTTACCATTTCACTCCTAGTTACTCGATCTGATTATGAGTTACAGATGACATTGTTACCAATAGAAAAAAGTAACTATGGATGACATTGTTAACATCGATGACGGCCTCATTGCTTCTTCTGGTGGCTATTTTATTTTGAAATTGCCCTTAATATTTAATAAAAACCTAGGAATTGTACTTGTTTTAATATTTAATACTTGACATCTGGTTCAGGCAAATGGTAAAGAGCTTCACTTTTCGATGGTTGATGGGGACTTTAAGAAATTTGAGGGGAAGTGGTCTGTCAAAGCTGGTTCGAGGTATGATCCATGTAATGGAGTTTTAATAGATTATTTATGTCCAGATACGTGATTCTGGTTTTCTTAATATTCTTTACATAGTCTTCCTAATATGCATATTATGCTTATTATATTCTGCAAGAAATGTCTGTTACTCAAGAAGTAATGGTAGTTGTTGAGTTTCACTTGGAGTGATCAGAATTTTCATTTCTAAGGATCATATTACCTTCTTAGATTTGGTTTGGATCTTTTCTGAGAAAATAGGTTTGTAAGCCTTTGCAACAAACTGTTTAGAATTAGTAGCTGCTTAAACATCCTTAGCTGGGTGGAAGCATAGAAAGACATTCATGTTAATAATTAATTATCGACAATCATAGTATTATTGTGAATGTGATATTTTATGCATTTATCTTAAACTCTATCGCTGAAATAATAGTTGATGGTTGTTATAACATAATGTTCACTTTCCAGAGAAAAAGAGTATCTATATCATTATGCTAAGATAGATATTCGAGGCCTAGGTTCGCTACATATTATTTCATTGGAGTTCTGTTAACATTTAGCTATTCTGGCTTGCACATGCTCAGACACTTCCTCTCCTTTGCTGGTTCTGTTTTCTGATTTCCCTAACCTCAAAGTTAGTTTGTTTGTCCAGGGTAAAGTAAAAAATTTTCCAATTCCAAAAATTAATTTGTTCGTGACAGGTATAGTGTATCACAGGAGTTATAGATTGCCACATTGTAAAAACCCTAAACCTTGAACAAGATGTCAGTCAAGAACTAGTTTTGATGGAAAACCTATTTACTTGAACTCGTTAGGATCAAGAACCATTTCCTTCAGAAAGAAGAACCATCTTTTCAACAACATTTTGTGTGCTCTGCCGCATCCAAAATGATGCACCTTGGAATCAGAAATCTTATCACCTAACTTAAAATCCTCCTCCAGCTTTTAAACCTGTTTGTAAACAGTATTCAGAGCTTCCATCTTCTCAGGGCTTTAGTGATGCGAAGCCTTGGTCTTTCTTGGCATAGAAACATGGCACATTGTGGGATCTCTGGAATTAGTGACCATCAACTATGTATTGATATATGGTTTATTCAGTGGTAGATACTTGGCTATTGGGGGACTTTTTCCAGATACAAATTAGAAGTATGGTTTGAAAGCAAAAAGTTCCTGAGGTTGCATATCTAATCTTTTGTGTTCAACTACAATTTTATTTCTGCATTATTGCATACCCATGAAAAGATATTGAATTTGCATTTCCATCCGCTATTTATATTCTCTTCCCCTTCATTTGTTTTCATACCTTACATGTCTGTTGTTTGGGGTATATATGCACAACCTTTTCTGGAAGCAGAACATGTATCAGGGCTCGTAGGGCACTGTTTTGTTTCTTTCGGGAATCTGTGGCCTTTGTAGTTATTTCACAATTTATTAACTTTGTCAGTCTCATGGCTCTGGATAGATGATGCTGACCCTTTATTCTATAAAATTGTTTTGAGTAGCATGACCAGTATTTATATTATTTGAATTGCTTTAAAGAGCAATTGGTTGAATCTCCTATGTAATTACCTATTATCAAGTTGTTGGTTTATAATTGAAAATAGATATTTTAGATGATAATTATAGGGTGTATATGTTTTTATCTTTTCATAATAATGTGAATACATTTAATAATATGCATGTTTACTAAAAAGCATGTATTCATTCTTAATAGAAACTTTAGATTTATTTTCTTGGCAGGCCCTCAACTGCTGTTCTTTCCTACGAAGTCCATGTGATACCCAAATATAATTTCCCGACCATATTTGTTGAGAGAATCATAAGGTCTGATCTTCCGAAGAATCTTCTGGCTATAGCTTGTAGAGCTGAAATGCGCACTGGATTATCCCCAAAAGAACACATTAATGACAAGGATATTGGTGATGGCTCTGGGGCCACCTTTGCTGACTCAGACATGAAATTATCAGATGCTTTGTGTGAGACTGTTGCAACCCCACCCAAGGACATGAAGGAAAATTTTACCGATTCTAGTATTATTCCTTTGTCAGCTTCTCATTCCAACCAACAGAATAGTGGTTGGGGTGTCTATGGAAAATGTTGCAGCCTTGATAGGCTTTGCATGGTAGATGAAGTTCATCTTCGTAGATGTGACGACCTACTGGTAGATCATCATTACATTATATTTATCTGTTCCTCTAGATATACCACTTTGTAGCATATAAGGTATATTCATATGCATCTCACCTGACTGTTTCTTTCTTTTTTGTTTTCTGAAAGGAAAATGGAGGGGTTCATCGAAGTGTTGTTGCTAGTATTACTGTCAAGGCACCTGTTCGTAATGTCTGGAATGTTTTGACCGCTTATGAGATTTTGCCTGAGTAAGCGATACTTTTTACTTTTTCTTTTGTTCTTTTCATCCTTTTTATTTTGACATGACTAATGATTCTTTTCCCCCAGAAATGTTATAGCTATTTTCTGCAGATTCCTGGCCTTTTTGCATTGCTTTTTTGTGATTTATAGAATTTTTCAGGCGTAGCTATTTTCTGTCATTCATGTTTGTTGATAATGATTGCACCCCATGGCGTTTTCTTGTTGCCCTGCAATGTTTGATGATAATCAATCAGCATATATGATCCATATTGCTTTACTTGTATAAATATTTAAATTTTTCTGTTATTTTCTTAGAAGAGATAGATGGGGTGAATGATTGTGATCCATAACTAATACCCCTATTTGAATTTTCTTGGTCTCAAACATGATTATTTCATTCATATGCATCTCGATGGATCATTTACAATATTACTGGGTTGATGCTTATGGATTTGTGGTTTTCTTTTTCTTTTTTAAGTGCTCATAGGTTTATGATTAGTATCATGAAAGCAGCAATGTAAGGCATGCGAATGTCAAGATAAGTTCCATTCTGATTACGATATTGCTCAAAGCTGTAATACACCATAATGTTGTTCAAAATGGAAACCATTAAAGCTTCCAATAATTAACTACCATTCTAAGCATTTGGGCTAATACTCAATAGTTAATGGAAGTAAGTGTTATTCAGGAATTACATGGTGGAAGTGATGCTTGGGGTGGAAAATGGAAGAGAAGAAATAATATATCCGGAGTTTTGAGGGCAGTTCGTACTTCGTTTGAGGATTTTGGAGGAACTTGAATTACCGAAAGGGATGGTAGAAATTGCAATATCTAGAAGCGTAGATGGTGGTGATCCCCTGATGGCCCAATTTTAAGGGTGTGGATGTGGTTAGTTGTGGAGATTGTAAGGTAATTGAGTACTTTTTGAAGACTGAATGTGGCAGTAGTTGGATGCGCTCCCTTACAAGGAATCTATTTGAGGGGAAGATGACCCTTTCCAACATGCTCTGGATTAATTTTGTGATGGATAGGGGAGAGCATGAGATTCCGTGGTGTTTTCTATCAAATATATGTGTATTTGGGTATTTATTTACTTTCCAATACTTCAATGTGGTGAAGCAGATTGGATAGGACGCAAAAATGTTTGATGTGGGAGATCGACCATAGATGATTGATCTTGATTATAGATAATCCAATTGTATAAAAAATAAAAGTGTGCTACGGTTGTAGGATCAATTGCACAAGATGCAAATCATGCAATGGCATCTACAGCACCTTAGTCATTAAAGTACATAGTTGAAGGACTTGATATTTTTGGATATTAGCCCATGGAGTTGTATTTTGGCAATAATAGTGCACTTTGACATTTCAGACACAATGTTTCAGAAATTCAGACCCCCAGTTACCAGGACGAAAACTTAGGAGAGAATTTTTAAGTTATAAGCAGGATGGGAGTGAAATGATCTTCATTTTTCATCTTTAGGGAGAGTGTTGTGTACTACCTGTATTGTTTAATGCATATATTTGTCCACGTAATAATAGCACTTATTTCGTTATCATATTTACCTCGATCATAGTGGTATTTTAGGCCTGTTGAGTCCTGATATAATCCCAGTTCTTGATGTGTGTGCACGCACGCATATATATGTGTGTGCGTGTGTGTGTATGTGTGTGCACGTGTTTGTGTACTTTGTATGTGGGTGCGTCCGCATGTAGTGTGTGTATCCACAGACTTTTCATTGTCGTTTCAAAATTTCTTAGACTTATTGTAATCATTGGGGGCATGTATGTCTATTTTTGCTGGCATTTAGTTTCATTCTGGTTCATTTTTGACAGATTTGTTCCAAATTTAGCTATAAGCAGAATTTTATCTCGAGAAAACAATGTGGTTCGCATTCTTCAGGTATGTGGCGGTGCCCTCCCTTTGCATCTTTCAATATTAATTGAATAGTAAAATATTTTACCCTTTTATGGATTGTCAGTTCTTTTTTGTGCAAATCTTCGAGAAATGGAACTTGTAATGCTTGTTCAGCACTTGGATATGCTGTAAGTTGGTCTCAGCTGAAATCGGAATAGTTAAATAGATTTATCTCTACAATCATTCTGGCATATGAATCCTGCAGATGATGCTTGGCATAGATGTTTTTCTGGTAAATGTGTATTTTATAGAGGCTGTTCTAACTGAGTAGACCATGACTATTTCCCTTACAATCTCTACCTTTTCTTTCTTCCGAAATAGACGCATCCTAAACACCCATCAGTATTTAACTATCTTAGAACAAATTTGAGATGGAAGATATCCAGCTGTGAATGACATCATGTGACAATAGACAATTAGTTTCCTCACCAGAAATCATGGCTAGAACAATTTCAGCCATGAATATCCTCTTTCATGCATGGTAGGAAGGACCGGCTAACCCCAATTGTCCTCTACGCTCTATAGGAATGCAACTGTATTTGCTGATACTTTGGCTGGCCAATGCAAGAGAATTTCCTTGAAGTTGGTTCTGACTACGTGAACGTCTTGATCTGTTGACTCTGTACGATGCCCACCATGTGATCAACTGCTGACCAGATTTCTACAATGTTGTGATTTTCCGATTTGCTTGGGTCTGAGAAAAAGAGTTTTTGAAGATCTTAAGGGCTATTAAAAGTGCTATCTACATACAAATCTTACAGGTCACATGAACCAAGACCCCTATCTAGTCTGTTCACGCACTTTGAATGGCTTCTTGTTTTACTAGGAGCCAATTTTTAGCATTGAGTATTAATCTAAACTTAGGTGACTTATCCCAAGGGGATCTAATTTTCATCTGGGGCCTGGAGATCTGCACTTCCTTCTTCCATTGTAGGTCTAAGTCATCAACTCAAATTGGTTCAAGAAAAGGAAAGCAGACTATGATATATGTATCGTATCAACTGCATTATACATGTCATCACCTTCATCTTTGCTTAACAATAGGTGGTGGACATGACCTGGGCTTGCACTCAAGTCTGTTATCGTCTAACCAACCAAAGAATGGATCAACTTCACTATTTTTTGTTGGGTGTGGAAGGTGGGATGATATGCATCATATTGTTGTGTATGGCTCTTGGTACATGCATCATAGTATATAATCCCTAAGAAAGGTACTTAAATTCATCAATCGTAAAAAAAAGATAGAAGAAAGATGCTTCAGTCATATATGCTTATTGCTTAAGGAAAGAAAAGGAGGTGATCCATGGTTTCCTCTACTTCCCAGCATAAGCAGTCATATGGGGAGTGGCATCCATGCCATTGGAGACGCTTGTTGTGAGAACATAATACAAGGGGGCCAGCCTTCTAGTTAATAGGAATTGAGTCAGCACTTGGATGCACCCTGTGATTGAAAACATGGCTCGGTCATCAAACTTGGGTCCTAGGCAGTCGCGTGACTATGGTGAGTCCAAGTCTACATGCCCGAGTCTGCTTGATCCTGCCAAAGAACCAAAAAAAAAGGAAAAAAATCCTGAAAATGGGTGAAAATAGGAAAAAACCTAAAAAATGATAAACAACCTGAAATATGTAAAAGATGAGAAAAAACGTTTCAAAGAATAGAGCAGACAGAAAACTTCTTGAAGATCATTTTCTCAAAAAAAATAAAAGAAAAAAGAGAAAATCTAAAAAATAGAAAATAAAAAAAATAAAAAAAGAAGTATAGACAAAATTAAGCATAATTATAACTGATTTAGTCAGTAAAAAATCAATTATAGTTAGTTATAAAATGATTAAATATATCCCCGAGTTGGGGGGTTTCGAGGATTAGTGTGTTGGTTATGGTGAGTCCAAGTCAACTTACCAGAGTCGATAAGTACTAGATGCACCGAATGAGGCAATCTGTAGACCTCTCTCCCTCCTCCTTCTGCCCTTCCCCTCACCCTCCAAACCCAACCACCCCACCCCCTCTCCTTCCCCCTCCTTGAGTCCCTTTCAAGGATGATTTGACCAGAAATGATCCATTTCACACTCATTTTTTACTCTTCTGTCATAACTTCTACCTAGGTTAAATTATACTTTTGGGTCACTCTAGGGAGCAAGTGCAGCGAACCCACCCTATTGCCCCTTCATTTCCTGCAATCCGTGTCCTCTTTTTTTACCAACCTCTCTCAGATCTCTATCAAGATTTTGGCTTGGAGCCTATTGTCAAAGCTTTTAATGCAACACACTGCATCTCAAATCTACAGAGAAGTGTCCATGTATGCTGGTGTTATGTGTCTATGTTATCCATGTCATCTTTCTTGCTTTGTTTGTATCTACTTTATTCTTTGTGCATGTCTATATACCACCATTACTATACAAGTAAGGCTTACCTCTAAATTTTGCCGGAAGATGTAGTTTCGGTGTTGGAAACCTTAAGGTTGCTTGAAAATCTATGTTTAATCGTAATTATGAAATTTAAAATTCCAAATCGAGTACATTTATTAACACATAAAAATCTTCAAAATAGATGTTCCATATAACTTGCTACAAGATGTACTATTTTAAGACTTAAAATTCTTTTTTTTCTCTTTATATCCATATATCTCGAGGTAGAGATGATCAATTAGAAGGTTTTTCAATTCCGGGACACTCTTGCTATTGAATTTTGAGGTGCACCTTACTTCTATAGTATAAGGTT